TAATAATATTTAATTATAATAATAATAATTATTATTATTATTATAGTAATAATAAACATAATAATAATAATATAATAATAAAAATAAAAATAAAATAATAATAAAAATAATAGTAATAGTAATAGTAATAATAATAATAATAAAATAATAATAAACATAATAATAATAAAATAATAATAATAATAGTAATAGTAATAGTAATAATAATAATAATTATTATTATTATTACTATAATTATTATTATTATTATAATTATAATAATAATAATAATAATAATAATAATTTAATAATAATAATAATAATAATATAATAATAATAATAATAATAATAATAATAATAATAATTCAATATGGGCAATTTGGAAATTGTATAAAAGAATTAAGGGCAAAAAGGTAATATACTTGGTCAACATAAAAGGGCTTTTAAGTTTAAAAAAAAAAAGCTCCCCTCCCCTAGCTTTTAGCTTTTGGCTTAAAATAAGTCACTTTGATATTGCCAAACACTCTAATAAGTCAAAAACTGGCTTTTAAGCCAGTTTGACCAGCTTAAAAGCCCATCCAAACAGGCTCTAGTCAATCTTATAAATACCCTTAAAATCTTGTTGTCACGTGTATAAACCACTAATGTATTACAACTGAATTGAAAGAAATACAAGTCTCAATGTCTTTGTTTCTAGAGAAAGAACAAGAACATAAATAAGGAACAAGAAGGTCTACAGAGGTGTCAAGCAACTACCTCTCAAGTCTCCACATAAAAGCCTTGAACGAAGTAGAGAAGAAGATTGAACATGTAGATCCGAGCTCGTAGCCTACACAAGTGTAGAAGCTAGATGTGAGTACCAAACAATACAATACTCAACAAGCGAACCACTAAACAAAAGGTAAAGCAAATAGAATACGAGTACTCCATTCATCCCAATCGAACCTCCACAAATTATAACATACATGCACAGAGATGAGTCCAACCTAAAAGTTCACAATTGCAAGTAATACATAGTTAATTACCAACGCCTCAACAATTACAGATCAACCACAATATCAAGTTCATCAATCAAAGTTTTCAACCGTTCCCACTCCTCATAACAAAGCATATAAAGAATAACTCAAGTCGCATCTCAACACAAATAGTCTATCATCACAGTATTCCACAATCAAAAGTCTTAACAACATAGAATCAATAATTATAATCCATAAAGTGCGATGCAATGATGCGCAATGTCATATAGAGTGATGCATGTACATCCTGTGATACACATCCGGTGAATTTCAGACCGGAACCCATTGGAAACACACAAGGTCCATATACTTTCTGAAACAAAACCTCGACATTAATATCACTCGCTAGAACAATTTTCCATCGTCATCACTATCACCCGCCGAAATAATTTTTCATCAGCATAATCACAATAGATTTCATCACAGTGTTTCAGAGCTAATTCATTTAGGCATGTTCACACCATAATGAAGAAATGCCAATTCCATAGCAATTTACAATCACAACAATACAATCATAGTGTTTCTCAATTAACGGACCAATATTACCACTCAAGTCATTCATCATATACCACACAACAATTACCAACAAATTGCATTTTTCATTATTCCCCTTATTATCATTAAGATTAATTGATATGAACAATTCAACTCATCATTAATTCACATTACTCTCCAACACATACAACAAGGAAAATAAGAGATTCTACTAGCTTTAATAAAGATCTAATATTTCACTTGCCTTGACAACTAAATACTCACTCCGACACTAGAGCTTTTTTCTTCCGAATAGTATCCGAATCAACACAATCTATTCAAGCAAGTATTCACAATAAGATTTCGAAATTTACAACACCTATATCAAGCAATTTAGAAAACAAGGTCAAATCGACCCAAAAAATTGATTCCGAAATTAAAGGTTAAACCTAATCACGAATCCAACCCCCGAATAAGATGACATTTTGCGAATGCGATGAGTCTATCGCGAAGGCGAAGGTCGCCAAAGTGAGCCGACCTTCACTAACTCAAGGGTCGGAAATCTCGACCCCTCGCAAATGCGTGTTGGGTTATGAAGGTGATTAGGGCGTCATGCTGAAACTTACAATTGCAAATCATATGACGATAAATCAGATGACAAATAAAAATATACTAATAATATATTATTAATATAGTTTGGTCAAACGACCTACATATTATAAAACTAATATAATATTGAGAAAAAAAACATAAATATGTTTAGGAGAAAATCTCCTCATAAACAAGACTTTCTAAACGACTACATTGTGGATTCTATTGTGTTCTTTGATATGAGAAGAGGGGTCTACAATATATAGATCTCATAACTTTTCATCTAAGGAAAGAGTAAACCAAATATGGAGAAAAATATATTTTCCTTTCATGAAAAGTAACAACATTTATGGTAATGTTTTGTCTTTTCTTTTAGGAAATAATAAATTTCAAATAAGGTAAGAAAATTCGGGCAAAACCCTAACAAATCTCCCATTTTGGCTGAATTTTCTTGACAAAACTTGATCCGCCTTTTTCTATGCTTGATAATCTTGTTCTTCACAAAATCTTCATTACTATTGCTTGCCATGGTTAATAATAAGATTTAAAATATATAGGTTAAAAATGGTTTAAAAATATTTCATTTTTATTTTTAAAAATTGCAGCAACAGAAATATTGAAAATATGATTGAAACTTCTTCTCCACATGTAGCTTGACAAAAATCTTCATTATCTTCAAATTGATTTGAAACCATCTTGAGCTTATCTTCAACCTCATTGAACCATAGGACCATCGGATCATGAATCATTAGACCATGTGCTCTGATACCACTTGTTGGGTTATGAAGGTGATTAGGACGTCATGCGGAAACTTACAATTGCAAATCATATGATGATAAATCAGATGACAAATAAAAGTATACTAAAAACATATTATTAATATAGTTTGGCCAAACGACCTACATATTATAAAACTAATATAATATTGAAAAAAATATATAAATATGTTTAAGAGAAAATTTCTCCATAAACAAGACTTTCTAAACGACTACATTGTGTATTCTATTGTGTTCTTTGATATGAGAAGAGGGGTCTTCAATTTATAGATCTCCTAACTTTTCACCTAAGGAAAGAATAAACCAAATATTGAGAAAAATATATTTTCTTTTCATAAAAAGTAAAAACACTTATGATAATGTTTTGTTTTTTCTTTTAGGAAAAATAAACTTCAAATAAGGTAAGAAAATCCGGGCAAAACCCTAACAATGCGATCAGATCTTCGCTAACGTGAAGGTCGCAAGAGAGGTCAACCCTTCGCGAACGCCAGGCACAACAGATATCAGACATCAGAAAATCAGCCAACACACAAGTTTCCGAATGGACCCTCGAAATTCTTTCGAAACCCCGTACACACAAACCAATGCAACTAAAATCGACATTCCGACACAATGAAACCATCAAAACAAGAATTTGAGGTTTTCTTGATCCGAAACCCGTAAAAGTCTCAATAAACTAATATAATGCCTAAAAAGACCAAACAAAGCTCGGAACCTCAGAAAATTCAACCAAGACCTTCCCTATGCCTAAAATAATCCCCCTAATCCTACGAGACTGACAAAAAATTGATCCGAGCATCCGAACCTCGAATGTTGACGAATTCAACCCAAAGACTAAAATCTCATCAATTTCCAACTTAAGACCTCAAATCCACGAAATCACTCAAAATTTGAAACCAACTACTCTCCTAGACCAAATTCTGCATTCCAGAGTAGATGGAACTAACGGAAATCCATTCTGAGATTCGAAACTCCGATTGACTCCGGAAACCACTTTTAACAACTTTAAGCCTACCAAAACAAAAATCTTCTAAGAATCTCAACTTTTTACTGAACTTTCAAAATCAACTTTACAAACCAATCAAAAAAGACTCGGAGCAATTATCGAAAAGGATAAAATCATAATTTTACGAAAAATTCTAAAAGTAACCTTCCAGATCATTACATATGAATTGCGCTTTCTATTTAAAGTTGTGTGCATCCTCGTTTCAGAGTGCTCGGAGGAGAATTATTCCGTCAAATATGTTCTAAAAATATAAGATATACATGTTGGTATTTTAAAACAGAACATATGAAGTAATATCTAAAGTTGTAAATATGTATGGGAAAAGGTATTAGGGTTGTGGATCCTTAATTTGAATAATGCAATTGGATATATATTAATGTATGCAAGTTTGAATAGTCTTGGGTTATGAAATAGGTGGGAGTTAATTTATGTATTATAGTATATTTTACAACTAAAGTAGTGAAGTTAATCTTATTTCAAATGCAATAGTGAGGTTCAAAGTTAGTAAGATGGTCAAATCATTAGAAACTTCATGCTAATCTAAACTTTTCTTACTTCGTTTCTTTTGTTGTACAATTGAATTTTAAACACAAGAATAAATGAAATGATGAAAAGTGTTACCAATAATTATTTTTTATAATTGTAGTAATTTTGAATTGTATAAATAATCTCAATTAAAGAAGACATTCTTTGACTCTTTCAAAACATAATGGATTTCTTTTTTGGTTTCTCATTTTCGATATTCGTATTGGATTGAGTCCTGACTAAATTGAAATTCACGCTGAAAAGTCTTATATTGGGGGTAAAATGCTTCTTAACATAGCTTTTTTATTTTAAAAAAGCTCCCTAACAAAGGTGACTTCATAACCAAGGGAATTTGAACCCAAGAGTTTTGATTGAAGATGAAGAAATACTTATCACTCACTATAGCAAAAACAACATTCAACGACAAAATATATACACATTAACAAAGAGTGTTAAAGCTTTTACCGACATTAATTAATTATCATTAGATCCAATTTCGCTATAAGCTTCATGAACATTATAAAGAGTATAATTACCGTTAATTAATTACTGCTAAAGTTTATTTTTGATATAGTGACTCCACCACAACCTTGTTGATTTTACATTGAAGAGTAAAACATTCTCTAACAAAGGTTTGACGGTTGAAGAAACATTAATAAACTTCAAAGGGAAATTACACTTTTGCACCTATTTCTATTAAAAACTTAAACATAACCATAGACTTTTACACACATTCAAATGTATCATGTATGGTAGCAATAAAAACTAGCTTATTCAAATCTTAAAAGTTGTTGCTTGTAGATTATTTTATTTCATGAATGGGCATTTTGAAGCCTCCAATAATGCCATCTCACTTGTGGATTCGCCATTTTTTCCTCCTTTCATAAGTGGCCCAAGCAATTCTCCTCTATCAAAAAAGAACTCTGCCTTAACAATCTTGTTACTCTCTTTCTCCAACTGTTTCAAACACAACATAATTCAATTAATTCAAAAATATAATTTATTTTTTTAAAAAAAAGAAAAGATGGTTTTTTGGTAAGTACTTCAAAAATGCCAATCCCAAAGAGCTCAACAAGTTGTCCAGTTGCAACATATCCTTTAAATGGACCATCCATGTAACCCCAATGCCTAAACTTGTACACAATTTCTGGTGGTCCTGAATAAACATGAAGGACTTCGATCGCGAATCCTCGTATAAATATGGATCTAAAAACATTTTGTGATGATTCAAATGTTTCATCGTCAGGATTGTAGACTCTTAGATTTTCTGGCAATGAAGTTTGTAGGAATGTGTTATAGCCACCACCAAGCTTTATAGCTTCTTCCGGTGTTAGCCCTTTCCTTCCTATAAAAATTATCAGAGAAAATTCTCTCAAATGATCAAAGAACAAACAATAACAATAACAACAATTACGTCTCAATTCCAAATGAATTAAAACTACCTATTATAGAATTTATCATCCCTTCGAGGACATTCAATTAAATTTGAACGATACAGAGAAGATCAGCATGATCCCTACGCAAGGATAACATACACAAACCTATGACAACACCAAAATATGTATATAGCAAACTTTCCTTTTTAATAAGAGTAACACTTACATTTAGGTTAGTTACTCTCTTTTTTTCCCTGTATTATAATGAAGGCAAATTATAAATAGACAAAATGTAACAAAAGAGTACCATTGACACTCTTCTTGAACTTTGTTGGATCAACAGATTTCATGTCATTAGGATCTATTTTGTGAACTAATTCCATTTCCCAAGTCTTCAATAGCCTTTGTACTTTATCTTCAACTGATCCTTCAGCCCATACCTAAAAATGAATAAGAGGCAAATCCAGTATCTATTAGTATAACATTGAACTTCTATAAAGGTAACTATTAGTATAAACGATGATATAAAAGAGAGGATAATTTACATAAATCCTATAGTGTTAAGAGCTAATTACATTATTTTCCCACTCTTTTACAAATAACAAAAATCCCTTAAAATTTATGAATTTTGGATACACCACTGGACTATCGGATACATCTGCAGACATCCAGATACATAGGGAAGGGATATATCCGAAAGAAAAGGGATGTATCAGAGAAGGGATAAGCCATTCAGATACATAGGGGAGAGGGGTTTATATCAGAGAGGGGAGGGATGTATCTGAGATGGGGATAAATATGTATCAACGAGAGGGGAGTGATGTATCAAAGAGAAGATTTTTGAAATCTTTAATCCAAAAAAAAAGAAACATACATGAGTTCTTTCTTGTTCAAAGAGCTTATCAACAACATCATAACTAGGGGTCCATTTCTCCATTTGGTGTTTTTGAGTTCTTCATCACTCAAGTAGTCTCTGTATTTGTCTCCTCCTCCTACTAAACTTGCCATTTTGATTTTAACTGAACAAACCTTCTGATGAGGTTTTATAGGATAAAAAAGTTAACCTAATACTAAGAAGTCCCAATCAAGTTTTTGCACTGATTGTCCCGATTTTGGAATGATCTTTAATTTTTGTCAATGCTTTTCATATAATGAAAATTTGTGGGCAAAAGTAACTTGTTCGGTACAGTATCTAATTCGCAAGACATAATTTTAGACAACTTTTATTTTGTCTAAACTAATTATGACAAAAGTTCTTTATGAATAAGTGATAAGTCGTGACATAACTTTATGAGTTTTGAAACTGTATATACTTATGCTTCTATCTGCATAAGTTCCATAAGAACTAAGTTATGTCTTTCATTAGAGCCTTGTAATTTTTTTCAATGTCAAGGATATTTTCATTTACTTTCTTGTGGACAAAAAATTTTTAAACTATAAACTTAAAGGTAAAAATAAAAAACCACCCAATAATATGAACTTTTCGTGCCAAGGACCAAAGTCTTAATTTATTTCAAGCTAGTAAAAAAAAATAAAAAATCTAGTCATTTTCTTATGGAAATATCGTGGAAACAACGCGTACTAAAGTTCAAACTATATAGGATAGTTTATGGATTTAATTGGGACCTCCAAAGAAATTTCTATATTGACTTGTCCATCGTTTAATTTGCCATCTTGATGCTAACTGAACAAACCTTGTGGATAGGTTATATATGATAAAAAATCTAACCGAAGCTAGTGTTTCACCATAAATTCTTAAATATTTTTGGTAAGTCGTTTTTTTGATGAAGTTTAACTATGTGTTTAATCATAAATTTTGAAAAAATAAATAATTAAAAAAAGTATACCCATAAATTTGTATTGTCATTTTATAATAAACATGTTTTGTTAAAAAATAGTCTTATAACATCAACAACAAAAACAACAATATTGACAAAAGCAATACTTTAATCGCATACTCAAATGTATCATATATTGATTGACAAATAGATATTAGTTGAGATTGATAAGGTGTTTTTATAAAATATAAAAAATTGGGGTAGTTTTTAAATTTTTAAAAAAACTCAAATACTTGAACATGGGATGTTTGCCAAATATATTTGTCAAATAATAACAAATCGTATGGCCAAATACTTTTTTTTTTTTTAAAAATCAAATGTATTTGAAAATATTTGTGGCAAAACAACACCACTGATCAATAAAAGATATTTTATGTGTTGATGAGTACCTCCAAATAAAATTTGGCAATTAGTAAAGAAGCAACTTTTTCATCTTTTGTTTTGATGTTCTTCCATGATCCTATACTACTCTTCCCTCTTTCACATTTTTTTTAATGGAAGCAAATTTGAACTTGAATTGTGACTTGTTGGAGTTGAAGTGCCATTATTATAAATGTCAAATATGATGGGCTTATCCATCGTGTGGAGCAAATAGCAGGGGCGGCTCTAAGGCATGGCCAGTGAGGCCATTGCCTTAGGCCTCAAAAATTTGAAGGCCCCAAATTATTTAAATTATTGTTATTGATTTTATTATATGTTAATATAATTTATATAAATAAATTTTTTATGGTATATTTATTATTATTATTTATTTGAGAGTATTTTTTATCAATAAATTCATAAAATCTCATAATCTTTTCACTTCATTATTTGATATCTTTGTTTTAACTTCCGATTTTAAATTTTATCCTTTTTATATAAGAACAAAGTTATATATGTGATAACATAATGAATTTTTGTTTCAATCTTTTCTTAAACTGCGTGAACACAAAAACATTCATGCACAAGTTTTCTTTTCATTTTAATTTAATATATTATGTGAAAGTTTTATAATTTATTTTAGATATTCACCAATAAGTGCTACTTAATGGAATGAATTATATCATTTAAATTGATCAGAAACTTGATAAGGAGGTGTATATATTTTTGTTATTACTATCCATACTCAAAACCTTAACTATTAACTTTAATTTAATACATTAGATGAAAGTTTATAATTTATTTTAGATATTCACCAATGAGTGCTACTTAATGGAATGAATTATATCATTTAAATTGATCATAAATTTGATAAGAAGGTTTATATATTTTTCTTACTATCCATACTCAAAACCTTAACTATTAAGTTAATGTTCACTACAACTAAAACAACTTTTAGCGGCGATAAATAGACACATTACTAAAGAATGCTAAAGTTTTTACCGGCATTAGTTAAGTGTCATTAGATTCAATGTCGCTAAAGGCTTTAGGGACATATACAAAGAGTGTTAATTGCCGCTAAAAATACATATTTAGCGGCAATTGAGCTATTGTCGTTAATTAATTGCTGCTAAAGATCATTTTTGATGTAGTGGTTTTTTTATTTTTCTTATTTGATGATAGCCAAATTAAAATTTCAATTTGAGGTTTGAAGCTTAACATCGATAATCCATCACTTTATTTTTTTTACTCTTCTTCCTTTTTTTTGTGTGTGAAATTTGTTATTTTTTGTCTTAAATAATTAATCTATTGTGTAGAAAATAAATTTTCTTGTTAGTGTATAAATTTTATAAAATAAATTTAAGGGCCTCTTAATATGATTTTGCCTTAGGCCATGAAATCTGTTGAGCCGCCCCTGGCAAATAGTCAATCACAATCAAAATTTCAGCACAACACACATTATATAATCACTATAAAGTACAGAAATAACCCCAACAATATAATTTGGGTGTTAATTACATTTTATCTCGAAAGTTTTCTAAATTATAATAATTTTGATTTTTCAGAACTCGCAGATACATTGCTCCTTTTCCCGACACATAGCAAATAATTCATAAGTTATGTATTAGATATATAAATTATATATCAGATTCATAACTATAAAGTTGTAACATCTCGCAATTTGGAATAACTAGGAAGAAGCCAATAATTGAAAATAGTCATTTTTGGAAAGAATGAAAATCTGAAAATTTTGTTAAGTTAGAATAAGTTGAGTTTTGGCCAACTTCAAACAGACATAACTCCTAGCTCAAGATGAGTTAGGTGTACTTCCAGATATGGTTAAAAATCTCTTGGAATAATATTTCCAACGCCACTAATTTTGCGCAATTTCGAGTTCGTATGAGTGAGTTATGCCCTTTGGAAGTTGGTCTGTTGGAATAAGGAAAGTCCAAATCCGGATTTTGAAAGGGTAGCTTGGTCTTTTCCTTGCCCAATTATTTTATTTCGTTTTTGGTAATTAAGTTAGGATCTAAACAGAATTAGATCAGTTTACGCTTTTACCAAAATACGCTAGGGCTTGGAGAAGAGGAGAAAAGAGGAGAAAGGAGAAGAACGTTCAAGATCCGTCGATTTCGTCAAGGATAGCTTGTGGATTTCGTCAGGGGTGATCCCTAAAAAGGTATGTGAGATCACATAGCGTTGGGTTAGTTCGCCCACGCGCCAATCATGATTTAATTTAGCGAATTTAAGTCTTTGAAGGTTTAAAAATTGAGTTCTTGATGGACATTGTTGAAGGTTTTTCTTGAATTCTTGTGGGTTGTGTTGATTGAAGTTTCTTGCAATTTGATTCATGTTTTCAGGTGTAATTTCGATTTGAATCTATCATATATTGAGGGTATAAATGATTCTAAGTGTTTGGGGAAGGAACCATGAAAGTTTAGAGGGTTTAGAGATGAAAAACGGAGAAGAAAAGTCGTCAAACACCTAGGGATAAGGGTGGGGCGTCGCGCCAGCCAGCGCCCCAAAAGGGCCTCTGAATCTTCACCCTTGGGGGCCACGCCAGCCAGCGCGCCCCAGACCAGTCCTTGAATGTTGAGGGCTAGTACCTCGCGCCTCTCAGAGCGCCAAGGAAGTCAGTTCTCCCCATTCATTCCCCACATTTTCGTACTTGTTCCTTAGCGTACCTATGTTTTCTAGTTGATTTCAACACTCTAAGGTATATCTAAACATCATGAAATCATCCATAAACATGAGATCATGAACCTTGAATCCATAATTAAATTCAAGGAAAGTTAGGATCAAAGTTAAGACTCAAGTCTAGAAGTTAAGAAGCAAGTCAAAGCAAAGAGTAAAGAGTTGAGTTTATTTCTCAAAAAGCTATAAGGGAACTAAGTATTCCCAAAGAGTTTATAAATGTTTTCACATTTGAGCAAGAAAAGGATACATCGATTTCAAGAGAGCTTTTAAGCTAAGTTTTGAGTAATTATCTCAAACAAAAGAAAGAAGTTTTGATTTTAAATCATATGAGCTAAGTGTATTTTGGGAGTAGTATTGAGCACTGATATGGGGATGCGAGTTCATATGAAGTCAAGTCTCCATAAATCATGTAGCCATCATGGGTAGTAAAGGATCATGCATTTTAAATGACTCCTTAAGATGCTTTTAGCATAGACTAGTCGATCCACTTAGTGAGTTAGGTTCTATACCCATGTCAAGGTATAAGACGGTCCTTGGCAGCGTGA